TAATATAATAATAATATGTATATAATATGATGAATGAACAGATATACTGTTAGACTAGTCTGGGTTGGCAATATTATGCAATGGCTCCAGTCAAAGAGTCAGGGGAGAGATTTTATTTCAGATATCACAATGGGTTATATTTTCATTATGTGTAGGTAGATGTGTGCATGTGTGTTTTAACACTAATAATAGAAAATAAACAATATATAGAAAGTAATTGGCTCACTTAGAGTTTAACTATTGGTAAATATTCTACACCTAATACCAGCCAATTAAAATTATTGGAAGGAGTTATTAGACATGTGAAATACAGTTTCCCACACTGCAAATGAATTACAGCACTTATAATAGTTACTGAAACACGTCATTCTCGTCAGACAACATTAGTATAAGCACAAGAGAAAAAATGTACAACAAGGAAATAGCAAAAAAATAACGCCAAGAATATGGAAACATGCCAAGTTTTCCATTGCCATGAATCTGCCATTTAAGAGAAGAACTAAAATTAGCTGAGGCAGTCACTGATTGGCTCTGAGCTAATTACCCTACCAATTAAGGGGGGCTGCCACATTGGCTTTCATATTTGTTTTCAGTGTTTTCTTTTCTTGTCTTTCTTTTTTTTTGGTGATGTGGGGTTGTAAAGGTTTATAAAAAGTATATTTTCAAGATATTTCTGTGCTAATGTGGCACTGTATTGACTTTATAGTGGCCTTATATCTACTTGACATCTATATATGTTGACGTAAAAGTGCTATATTGACATGGCCACAGTTACAGTATTACCAAAGCATGATATTGAAGATTTATAATGTAAGTAAAAATAAAAAGTGATTTCACTGTGCATTAAACCAACACAAAGTGTCTGACATTAATATTCTAGATCATTTTGAAGACTGTGTTGGTCAAAAGCCACACAAGGCATGAAATGAAGGGAACTGTAGCCAACTTTAACTCCTCAGCTCAAAACATTTAAAAAAAAGTCTCATCATGTCCAAAAGTATTGTAGAAAATGTTCTTTCAAATTAATTTCAAATATCACATACACTTTCAAAAAGGCTACATTTCAGGGAGGACTGTTCCCACTGAATAATAAATGTTTGCTTAAAATAAGGTCTTATAAATAAGGAATGACTGCTTCCTGTAAATTTTAATTGTGCAGAATATCAGATATGGAGAGTATGCTATTAAGCCAGCAGCATTTGGGGATCATGTGTTTTGAGGTAGACCACCTCATGTCATTTATTATTAGGTATAAAGAAAAGGATATTTGTTCTGTCTATCATAAGTGTAAGCTCTGTTAACATCACTTTTTGTTCAGGTTGTAACAGAGGAATACAGGACACAAAAACTGAACATGGACTCACCACAAAGGCAGTGTGTCAGCGCTGGGAACCTTCCCAGTTTCAGACTGACTACAGTTTCCCCACAAGCTCCCACCACATTTCCAAGCAGGATGAAGCAACATACAGTCACCACCAGCTCACCAAATTTGTCATTTGTGCTGATTGTCTTTCAGCTCAGCCTTAGCCAGGTTTCTTCCATTGTTACCTGTTAAAAGGGGATATTTGGGGAGTTTTCCCTTACCATAATTGAGGGTCTAAGCCGGACAGAGGGTGTTGAATGTTGTACAGATTGTAAAACCCCATGGGGCAAACTGTAATTTGTGATTTTGGGACAATGGCATAAATTGTTTTGTCATAAATGCATAATCTGCCCCTACTACTAATTTTTCCTCTAAAACACTGGCAAACAAGGCTAAATGTGCACAACTAGTACAACATTACTAATATACTAGAGGATGGATCCCAAATTTATTTTTGAGAATGGAAGGAAAATTTGAATCTGAGAGGTGATATCAAACTTTTTATGTCACCCTCTGGTGGTTGTGTTCAAACAAATGGATTCAGTCCACACACGGATATTTACTTAAAGCATTAAAAGTAAAAGCACTCACAATACACAACAGCCCCTTTTTTAGAGTGTTTTCTTATTATATTATATTACAGGATTATTATTATTAGTGATGCATGAATGTGTAAGCAGCATTTTAAGGTTGGTAGGTGGTCAGGTTGGACTAATTTTATCTACCTATACGCCTGGGTTGTTTAACCTATAGTAATACATCATATTTTACTTGTTGATCATGCGTTTAAAGAAGCTGTCCTCTTCCTCTGAAATGTTACAGAGCAGACTGTAAGATTAAAGTAGCATAAAATGCAAATACTCATGCAAAAGTACCTCAATATCAATTACACATATTTTCAGTATTTAAGGAAATATTTAATTAACTTTTTTTTTTTTTACATACACAGAAATGCATTCACTGAAAAAAGTTAATTCATATATTTTTCCGCCAAAAAGAAACTCACTTCCAAGTTGATTATTGGTATATTTCAAATTCATATCCTGCCCTTTTTTTAAATTATTATTATTTTTAATCTGGCTGTTGAATGATATTAGCTTGCTGAAATGACCTCATTTTTAATTTCCTGTAAAAAAAAAAAAAAAAAAAACAATAATAAAAAATAATAATTTGTTAATAAAGTTCGTTTTGAGAATGTCAACACGCGTGACGTCATCGGACCGCGACAAAGCGCATGCAACGCTTTCGTCCCTTTTAAATACACGTGAAAACAGCCGCAGCAATGTGGGCTTTAAATAAATGTTTTACGGTTTTACGTCCACCGGTTTCTTCGAGGGCGACGCTGACTGTCAGTCGGTGGTTCCGGCGCTGTCACGGTGCTTCAGCCCGGTCCAGTGTCCGCGGGACGGGGCTTGTGTCCTCACAGGACCACCGTAGCTTTCATACCGTGTTACCTGCCCACAGGTGGGAAGCTCGTCTCTGCAGCGACAGAGGATTCTCCACCTCCCCGAGTGTCAGGAGTGAGGCCATCGGGCAGATTCAGTCCAAACATTATCAGCTCGTTTACACATGCAAGGTGCAGTCGTTGCTTCATTCTGTCTCAAACAAACACGGTTGCTCATATAACGTGAAAGTTGTATTTTTATTATTTATTTTTTTTGCAGGTTTGCTCTACCAGGTCCACGCAGAAGATATCCAAGCTGGCTTATCACAAAGGCGTTGTGATAGTGACTTGTCCAGGATGTAAGAACCACCATATCATCGCTGATAACCTCAGCTGGTTCTCTGACCTGGAGGGAAAGAGGTTGGTGAACATGAGCCAGAATATCATTGATTTCTAACAACAGCCAACGTGGTTGCACTGATGTTGGTGTTCCTCTTTATGTTTAATGGATTCAACCATCTAGCAGCAGTGTTTTGTGTCATAGATAGATAGATAGATAGATAGATAGATAGATAGATAGATAGATAGATAGATAGATGTAGCAGCAGCATTACACTCAGTAACAACACAATAAGTAAAGAGAACAATCCTAGACATATCAAAAAGCAATATAAAATGTATAAAAAGTATAAATAAGCAGTATAATTGTAGTGCAAGTTAAATATTAAAATATAAGGTGCAGCGAACCGATAAAACATATAAGGTGCTTGTAGACTGTATTATTATGACAAGAGTTTTTACTGTCATGTGATTAGAGGTTGACAGTAGTCTTCCTCATGTGTCCAATATATCAGTATTTAAGTTTTTGTTTAAAATCTCTTTTAAATTTAACAACAGCATTTATGATTAATTGTGATATTGTGACCAAGTTATATACCGGGAACATTTACAGTTAGAAGTTAACTGTTG